ATGAGTTCAACTTCATCAAATTGATCACTTATGGCCGCCCTGTCAAGGCACTCCATGGTAGCCTTGACTAGTGATTCCCAGTACTGAGAACAATCAGGAAGGTTCACAGCTGAGATATTGCCACAGAAACTTTTCTTCAGTTCATCTGCTACCTCAGCAGCATCAGGAATATCACATTTGTCTATGAGTGTCGGCCTTTTCTCAGAGGATTCTAGAAGGAAAGGAGGTTCCTCCATTGGGAGGCAACACAGAGTTCCTGCAAGGTTAAACCTCTTGTGACATCATCGGCTGGGTTATCCATGTGTTCACATAACGCCAGCTGTCTGCAGGAGTCAGGGGTTGTATCTCAGGCCCGAGTCCCAACAAACACCTTGTACCGACACAACTCTGACTGAAGCCATGTCAAGACAGTTGTTGAGTCACTCCACAATATGGTATCTTGGATCGTTATGCTCAGTTCTTTGTGTAGTTTAGTGGCTAACTGTGCACCAGTAAGGGCAGCAGAGAGTTCTAGTCTGGGCATTGAGAGCAGCTTCTCAGGAGCCACTCTACTTCTCACAGCCACAAAACTGACAGCTATCTCACCATTACTCTCTGCACTTCTCAAATAGGCAACTGAACCACAGGCACGCTCCGAAGCATCACAGAATATGTGTAGTTGTCTCTGACTGAGAACGATCATGGTTTCTAGATGTGTAACATCTTGGTAGACACACTTGAGGGATATCACACCGTTCAGATTCCCAAGTTTTCCAGTTTCTATTACAGCATCCCATTCATGTTTTGATCTCCTTAGGTCCTGCACCAAGATTCTTGCTCTTGACGTGAACAGTGTCAAGTAGCCGATAGGATCATACTATGTGGCAAGGATCTTATACATAACTTTCATTGTCAGTTTATCATACGTAACTGGTCGATACTGGTAGCTAAGTTCGTCAGTGTTACATTTCCAGTGCAATACAAGAGCAGGTTCTTGCTTATCATGTCCAAGACTTGCCCACTGCTTGAAGGTATCTGACTTTGCCTCAGCAGGCAAGTCTTCTAGTATCTCAGGTACATTGCAAGCCCACTGACAGATGTCAAAGCCACCTTCAGCAAGCACCTTTCTCAGATTTGTAACTTGTTTCTTTGCTTGGCCAGGATTCATCAGACTATCCAGGCAGCTGTTTTCCTAGAAAGCCTCACCAACACACTTCATAACTTCAGGGTTCCACTGCTGATCGTCAATTGCTTCAGTAGGGCAATGGTCACACAACATTGACTGCAAGTAGTACCGAAGGTCAGTACCTGCCATTTGTAGACAACTGGATCCACATTATTGTTCAAATTGCGCCACAGGAATCTGAGGATGGGTTTGTCTTCAAGTAGGAGTTCCAACTGGGTATTGTCAAAATCTCAAGAACATGCCTAGGAGGGAGGATCCAAGGGTAGGACCCAGTAGAAGATGGCTATTGAGATCTTGGCCCTTGTACTCGTTAGAGCAATTGAAGACAAAACGATTCTCCCCATTGCGTCAACAAGGTGATGGGGGATAAACCATGATTCATCGGTTAACCTTGCCTGTTCGTCACTTATGATAAGCACAAAACCTGCATCAACTAGTCTCTGAATTTGATCATTGCCGATCTTTGCAACTATTGGTGATTCTGATGGTGTTTCTCAGTTCGTCTCAGGTTTGACATCACAGCTTCCTTTCCTGCCTGTAACTTAATATGGTCCGATTTTCACAGGAGTGGTGTTGCATAGTGCTTACCATCGCTAACTTTCACTAGCACTGTTTTAGCTTCAAGTTCGGATATAGCTTCTTGATCCTGTTTGGAACGAGTTAATTTTCTCTCATTGAAAGGCAAAAAGTCAATTTGCAATAGGTTCAACATTTTTCATCACCTGATCTGGACTGGAAATTGCTGTGAAATGCCATTGGTTGTCTTTGGGATTCATGGATAGCTGACTTGGTCCCTGGAGGGCCCAGTCCAGCTTGGTATGCACTGCCACTGGAGCTCGTTCCGGATCAAACATGATTGGTTGGGTTGGCAGTATGAGATCTGCATGATCAGAACCCATGAGGATAGTAGGGATAGCTTTGTCGATCATTGGCAAAGGTGTATTTCTCAAATGAAGGTAGTGCGTCTTGAGGGCTTCCACTGGATACAAGTACTCTGACAAGGATAGCTGCTCAAAGGTGAAAGCGTTGAAAATCGGGAATCTAACATCGGGTCTGTCTCTGGATGAGATCAGAAGGTTCACGCTGTAACCTTGGCAGTTGAAAGGTCCTTCATGAACTGTCGTGAGCATGATATTATCTGGCGTCTTCAGAAGGTTCAACTGCTTCACCACAGAGGTCAGTATCATTGTCCTCATCGAACAAACATCTAAAACAAAATAAGTAAGTGGGTTGGGAATTCCAGGATTAGATCTTGTCGTTCATGCCTTGCGGGTGGATGGTTTTCAGATCGAATATCCATTTGAGTTCAATGGATCGGCTTCTAGCCGTGCTCTGAGCTGACTCAGGGTCTGTTTTGAGCTGTTGAGTGACCTGTGTGACCTGTGTGTGGCTGGTGAAGGTGTTAACTGGCTTCATATTTATGCAGATTTTGCATGATTGTTTGTGACAGCTGTCATCTAGGTTTGGTACAGTGTGGCCACTGATTTGTGGTTTAGGTGGTGGATATGTGATTGCCGCTCTCATGAGGATATCTCTGAGTGTGCGGTTCTTCCTATATGCCGTGATGTGCGGGACTCGGAAGGTCTTTGCAGATGTCTGTACCTTGAAGTAGGTGCCTGTAATAGTTTCTGTCCATGGCAGAACACAACAAGTCTTCAATTCAAACTTTTAATAAACGTGAGCAACATGGCGTCATCAACATGTGAGAGATGATAACCTACTAAAATCGTAACTCGTCCAGAAACGAACCAGATATTAATCTATGATCTAAAACGAAATAGGATCATATCACATCCCCTTTCTTTTGAATAGAAGGAACTGTGATAGTTACTTTTATACAAAAATAATTTGAAACACACTTATGTGTTGTACTATCATCAGATAATTGACCTATTGTTACTGAAGCAAATTACCCTACATGTAAAATGCTACTTCCACAATTTAAATGATATCTGGAAATAATACTGAAATTCTTGAATACTTGTTCAACACAAACTCATGAAACTAGCAGCAAATCCTTGCCTTAACTCATAGTTAAATTCTTCCACACAGTCAACACTTTAAAGATAAACTTAGTTTTAACTCCTCCAACATTATAATAAAAATCACTGTTCATTTAGTATTCTGAACTGTTGAAACTATGAAATCAATAGTTAAAAGTCAATATTGTTCCAGGAATCTGTCTGGTCTCTTGACCATTCTCACACTCCTGGTCCTGTACTTTCCATCAATGTTTCTAGTGGTCAGATCATTACCGCTTTTTGCATGCTGACTGTCATCATCAGATATACTTGACTGGGGAGTCTCATCAACGACACTGGGATCATCCAGCGCAAATCTCACTTTTCTGGGCGTTCCCAGCATCTCTCGCAAATGGTGTCTGTTTCGTCTTAACACCTTGCCATTTGGGGTTTCCACCAAATAGGATCTGGGCTCAATACACTTAGCTGATATCCTACCAGGTACCCATCTTCCGCTGTCTAGATCTTTAGTCAAAACTCTCTGACCTATATTCAAAGCAGGTAAGTCTTTCACCCCTTTTCTGCCGTGATAATATTTCTGCGACTGTTGTCTGTCCTGAAGTCTATTCATGATTGTATCCTTCTGCGGGTGATTATTTGCAATTAATACAGGTAAGTTACCTTGCAACTTACGACCATTCAGAAGTTCGCCTGGTGATGGAATGGTACTGTCAATCGGGGTTGTTCTGAGACTCAGCAATGCTAGATCTGGATCAGTTCTAGACTGCTTCGCTTTGGTAAGACACTGCTTTACAGTTTGCACTGCTCTCTCTACGAATCCATTACTTCATGGATATCGCGGACTAGAAGTAACATGATCGAAACACCACTTATCAGCGAAACGTCTAAATTCTTCACAGTCAAACTGTCTACCGTTATCACTGATAACTTTGTTGGGTATCCCCTGTTCGCTAAACAGTTGCTTGCAGTGATCTATGACAGCCCTACTTGTACACTGTCCGTGAATTTTGCGTACAAAGAATGATTTTGAGTAGTAGTCAGTTATCAAAAGATTTTCACATCCATCGAAGTGAAACAAATCCATTGCTACTGTGTGCCATGGTCTTTGTGGAATATCATGGGGTTGCAATGTTTCATGTGATTGCGACTTTTGGTTTTCTTGACAAATATTACAATTTGCCAATAGTTCTTCAATCTCCTTGTTGATACCTGGCCAGTATATGCACGATTTAGCACGAAGTTGGCATTTTGTAACACCTTGATGTCCAATGTGAAGTTGTTGAAGCGCCTCACGCCTCATCGCAGGTGGTATCATTATCCTGTCCCCTTTCAGTAACAGCCCATCCTCCACAGACAGTTCATGACGACAAGACCAAAATGGGCGAACGATTTTTCGCACTTGCTTTGGATCTTCTGGCCACCCTGATACAATAATGTTCTTTAATGCACTGAATGTCTCATCATTTTCAGTTTCCTTGCGGATCATCTGAAGCTTTTCACTTGAGAACTGAACTTGGTGAATGGTTGTCGATACTGATAGTTGGACTTGGAGCTGGGTTTTGCCTAGACAGCATGTCTGAAAGAATCATTTCCTTCCCAGGTTTGTATCTAATCTCAAAGTCATATTGCTGAAGTTGTAGCATCATTCTCTGGAGTCAAGGAGGAGTGCTGGCTAGATTCTTGTGCTGAATGTTCTCTAGAGGTTTATGATCCGATTCAACTGTGAAGTGACTGCCAAACACATATGTATGAAACCTCTTGCATCCAAACACCACTGCAAGGAGTTCACGCTCGATATTAGCATATCGCTTTTGTGTGTCTGTGAGTGCCTCACTGGCATAAGCAAATGGGTATCAGTCCTGCATGATCACAGCACCTGGACCTTTCATTGATGCATCAACTTGCACGACTGTTGGCTTCCTTGGATCAAAGTATTTCAGAGTACCATCAAGACAGATCATAGTCTTCAGCTTGTCAAATGCTGCTTGATGCGATTCTGTCCATTGCCAAACACTGTCCTTGTGGGTCAGCATCCTTAATGGTTCCGTGAAGTCAGCCATGTTGGGTATGAATGATGACATATACTGTATCATCCCCAGGATCCGCTGCAGTTCAACAGTGTTCGCAGGTGGAGGTAGATTGTGAATTTCCTGAACTTTTTCTGGATCAGGATGTACACCTTGAGCATTATAATAGTTTCCAAAGAACTTGATCCTTTCTTTTCTTATCTCACACTTCTCAATGTTGAAGATGAGACCATATCTTGCTGCAACTTTCATAAGTTGATGCAGGTTTTGATCATGCTCCTCTACAGTCTTTCCAAAGACTGCTGTATCATCACTGATACCAAGTGTTCCAGGACACTGTTCAAGGATCAAATCCATCTTCTCCTCAAATATGTCCTGTGATATTCTTAGTCCAAAAGGAAGTCTTAAGAAATCAGTACCTTCCAAAAGGTGCATTGAATGTTGTAAGTAAACTCGAAGAATCATCAAGGGTGATGCTCCAATATCCATGCCTAGCGTCTAGTTTGCTAAACACTGTTGCTTCACTAAACTTGTGTGTTATTTCTTCAAGGGTCGGTGTCTTGTGGTAAGTTCTCTTAATGGAACGGTTTAAGTCACTAGGATCAAGACACACTCTCAACTTGCCATTTTCCTTCCTACTGAACGCAAGTGAGGACACCCAATCGGTAGGTTCAGTTACCTTAGCTATCACACCTAAAGACTCCATTCTTTCAAACTCAGATTTCAACTCATCCTTAAGTTGAATAGGATACTTTCTGGCTGGATGTATCACGGGTACAGCGTCTTCCTTCAGAGCTATATGACATTTTCCAGGAAATTGACAAATGCCTTTAAATCTGCCTGGGTATAGCTTCTGTAGGGTTTCCTTGTTAGGGATAGGTGCAGACCTCTCCACTCTATGCACTGAATTCGTGGGACAATTTGGTGTGATTAGATTCAGAGCAAGGATTGAAGGTAATCCAAGCAGAATAGGCCCTGGTGCATCTGCAACAAAGAACTTTACCATCAAATCCACATGGTAAAGTAATACTACCATACTGGGGAATTTCAGTACCATTATAAGCACTCAGCTTGACATGTCTAGCCTTTGTAGTACCAGATTTCGGGAAACCTGATGCATCAAGAAATTCTGGAAACATTCTTCTGTATACATGAAGTGGTAGAAGATTACCTTGTGAGCCTGTATCCACTTTAACCTTTAAGGTGTGGCTGCCTTGACGGTTACACAGCTTAACATCTAGGTTTACTTTCAGTTCCTCAACGTTGTCTTTGAACATTTCCATTTTGAATCTGGCTACCTCATCAACAAAAGTAACAAACTCCTTACTCACGTAGTCAATATCATGTTGTTTTTGTCAATGTTGGTATGACTTTTGCTTATGCTGAGACTGTCGTGACATATGTTCATCATTCCTACGAGACTGTTATCCACGACTCCTTGACCTGGACTGTTGATGGTGCCTTGACTGTCTTCGTCTATGCTGCGCTCTCTCTCTTCCCTGTTGACACATTGCCTGCCAATGCCCAATTTTACCACACATTTTGCATTTACTGTTGACTGCTGGACATACATTTCTAGATTTGAAAGAGTGTTTTGTTCCACAAAACCAGCAATCATGCTGAATCTCATCAGTTTTTAAAACCTTACCATCTAGATTCTTAAACTGTGACATATGGTTAACACTTGCTTCATGTCTCCTACCAATATCAATGGCTTCCTGTAGGGTTAATTTTTCATCACGTCCTAGCAATGTTTTCTGTACCTCTGGGTATGGAACACCAGCAATGAGAACTTCAATCATTCTCTCCTCTAATGCATCATTGTCTTTAAACAAACACTTCATAGCTTTAGATTTACATCTTGTGATAAAGTCATCAATAGTCTCATTGTCCTTCTGTTTGTAATGAAGAAACTCCAATCTATGAATTCTGAAATTTTCAGAAGGTTCAATTTGAGAAGAAAACTTTTGCCATAAATTCTCGGAATTGTTTAAATTTTCATCAGTTAGATTCCATGTGTTGAACATTCTAAGACCTTCCTTGCCAGACCATAAAATAATGTAACTGTGTTGATCTTCTGGCTTGATACCTTTAATCTTAAACCAAAGTTCACTAGTTTGCTTAAATTCCTTAAAAGCTTGACCTCTGTCCGGGTGTGACCAATCCATGCAAGGTGACGGTATTGACTCTGCCATGGTGATTTTACGATCGCTTCACAAGAAAACTTGGCGCTAAGGAGTGTGTACTCAGTGAAAAGTTCATCAATCACACTGAAGAAATATGCTACGGTATACTGTTCGTTCGTGAAATGTTCTGATTGTATACCAAATACTGATAGTTACTGGTTACATGCACAAAGCTGGGAATAGTTACGGTCACAGTGACATCCATGATTCAGTCCACATGGCGCGTAGTGGAAACAGCACGCCGACTGTCAGATACGTACAGTTCAAAACATGTCAAAAGGCATGAACAAGATCGAGTCGGTGATGCGTAGACTTCTTTGCACCGCTGCCACCATGTAATAGTTTCTGTCCATGGCAGAACACAAGTCTTCAATTTAAACTTTTAATAAACGTGAGCAACATGGCGTCATCAACAGGTGAGAGATGATAACCTACTAAAATCGTAACTCGTCCAGAAACGAACCAGATATTAATCTATGATCTAAAACGAAATAGGATCATATCACAGTGCCAGGACTTTTTTATCACAGAGCTAACCTTGAGTGCAGTGGGGTTGTAATCTGTGATAAAGATCACTGGTTTAGTGTCTTCTGAGGGTGTCTGTTTTTGTAATAAGAGGGACGTTCTCTCTTTAGCGTTAGCTTTCGTTTTGTTGTCCAAGAGAATTTTCTTGGGGTAACATCTCCTGAGGTAGTATTTTACTAGATTGTTGCTATGGAACTCATATTGTGACTGCGAGCTGTATATCTTTTTGAGTCGGAGGAATTGGCTGTATGGTCCTTTGACTTTGATGTGACGCGGGTGGCAGGAGGTATATAGCAGATAAGAGTGTGTATCTGTGGGTTTACAGTATAGGTTAAAGTCCAGTTTGTTGGTAGCTTGGTTAAATATGACCCATGTATCTGAGAAAGCCACTTTTTCCCTGGAAAATTCGGCCGTGAATTTAATGGTGGGATGTGATTGGTTCATTTCTTAGATGAAAGATTCTAATTTCTAACCTAGTGTAACCCAGAGTCCAAATGAGGAAAATGTCGTCTATAAATCTGACGTATAAGTTTGGACTATCAGTGGGTTTTTTTAGAAGTTTTTCTTCTAGTTCTCCCATGAAAATGTTTGTGTATGATGGGGCTAGTTTGGTACCCATGGCTGTTCCTCCGGTTTGTACAAAGTGTACATTGTTAATAACAATTGTATTTGTATAGCACAAGTCTAAGTAAAGAAAGTAAGCTTGTGGGGCTAACTGACCAGTCAGGTTTGAAGCGCCTAATGGCCTGAGCTACTGAACGGAGGCCTTCAATGTTTGGTATATTGGTGTAACGGGATGTGACGTCCATAGTGACAAGAATGATGTCGCTATTGGGTGGGAGGTTGAAAGTGCCTACGGTCTGGATGAAGTGGGTGGTGTCCCTGATGTAACTGGGATAATGTTTGACGAACTCTTTTATGTGTTCGTCAACGAAGCTCCTAATCAGTTCAGTGGCCGTACCGTTCCCCCTTATGATAGGGCGGACCGGTACTTTACCCGGTGTTAGGTTTTTATGAATTTTGGGCAGGAGGTAAAACTGGCCGGGTTTGGGGTGTTTGCGTAACAGTCTATTGAATATTTTGTAAGTGATCTCTTCTTTGGTGAAGAATTTGTTGAGAAGTTGTGTGATTTCATTAGCAAATTCCATGATGGGGTCCTGGTCTATTTTGAGATAAAAGTTGGTGTCAGTGAGTTGACGTGTGGCCTCTTGTATGTAGTCAGTAGTGTTTAGATTAACGACTGCTGATCCTTTATCTACTTTTTTTATCATGATTTCTGAGTTGTTTTTGAGACTGTTGATGGCTGTTCTCTTTGCATGTGTGAGGTTGTTGCGTATGAACGGGATGGTGTTCATTTTGAGAAATTGGTGTTTGACTGATTTGATAAAAGCATCAAGCGTCCGGTCTATGCCCGGAATTGGGGTTCATGTGCTTTCTTGGGCCAAATTTACGCTCTAGATCGTGAAATTATCAACTGTATCTGATTTGTTTGTCTCATGAAAGAAATGAGAAATTCTCATTCTCTGGAAAAAGGCTTTAAGATCTGTATATATTTTGCTAAGATCCATATCTAACGGTGTCGGGCTAAAAGTAAGGCCATTGCTAAGAACACTAAGTTCTGTCTCATTAAGTTGATAATCAGACAGATTGGCAACAAAGGCGTTTTTGTAAGGTTCAGGATTTTTATTTGAACTATTATTGTTCAGATTCAAATGTGAAAATTCATTGCTATGTATTGTTATTGGCGCTCACATTGAGGGCATTGGCGAGCTGGACTTTTTCCAGTTGGAGATTTCCTGACTGGTTCCGAGTCTTCTTTTTGAAGGTCTGTGTAGATCTATTGTTGAACCGGTTGAGAGGCCTGGAGTTTCTAGGCTCTTGGTGGTGAGGTCTCCCTGTGGGGTTAAGGGGGATGGAGGTAGGTTCCATGAACAGTTTGGGATCATATATATAACCTTTTATTCCTCCATAAAGAAGAGTACAAAAAAAGCAGAAAATAATAGATGAACATTTATCAGAACAACATATTATTTTGCATTAAATATGCAGAATGGTAATTCTGATGTATTGAGAGTTAGTTGAACACCATTTTAAACATTGGCTTGACATATTTGACACACACTCGTGCAAAGTCATCAGCATCTTTGTCACATAGTCTGTAATCTGTTCTACAAGACAACATGCATTCAGTGAGCTTTGCTGAATCCATACCATGCAGGTAGCAGCTAAAGTCGACATCACTGATTTTTATCAACTCCATCCAGAGCTGATCCCGAATATCACACGTACATTCGCACTCAACAACTGCATGTGTCACTGGATCACGATACACAAGACCACATTTGTGGCACAGTCCTGTATCACACATGTCCTTTGCGGTAGCACACATCCTTATCACAAAGTTAGAGTTCAGTCTCAGAGTTGGGTCGTCTAAGGAGATCTGCCAGGCTGGATGGACATCATATAGTCGATGGATTCGACTAAACATCTGGAGTTCTGGATCAGCAGCAAGTCTCTGCCTCCAGGCTGAGACGTGGTGAGATTTTAGTGCTTTACTCACTAATCGTTCCCATCTCTGTTTCCCTATGAAGATACCATTCCGCAGGAACGACAGCAGAGGATCCATGAGATTGTATTTGGATAACAATCTGATGACGTGTGGAACAAATCCTGATGATGAGGTTGTCAGTTGGTGAATGTAACACATCAGTCTGGTCATGAACAGCTGATGAGGCAGGAACTTCGGGTTCATGTTGATGATGCGCTCCAGGAAATACAACTTTCTTTGATCTATATGGTATTCAATGGGTAGAACACCAAGAAGACTCAAGCAGACATCAGTACGGGTCAGTTGTGGCAGGTCTTGGATAGATTTTATGACATATCTGAACGACCTCTACAGCATCAGCAATTCTACCTTTGATAGATTTGACCACAGTTCTGATCCATACAGAGTCTTTGGGAGGTACATATTATTTACCACAATCAAACTGGTTATAGGATTCAGGAACCTAGGATGAAAACCTTGTGAAATCAGCGTTCTTACCCCTGACCTCAGGTTGACTGAAGCTTGAGTAACATGTTCAAGGGATGACATGTTGCCAGAGAGTACCGAACCAACATGTCTGATGGTGTTCGTCCATGGAATGGGTTCACTGTACAGCTTCAGTTCAGATATGTGTTGAGTCCCCTTGTGGCAGGGGAATGATACAATCTCACTTTTGGAAGATGACAATATGTATCGCCAGTCACAGCTGTAGTCCTCAGCCATTTTCAACATTAATTTCAATGCTGACACTCTCGATGAAACAAGGGCTACATCATCGGCTTGCGTTAGAGAACAGGTATTCAAATCCATAACCACAGCACCAAGTCTCGACTTCGATAGTTTCTGGAGGAGGGCGTCAATGTACAAGAGGTACAACTTCCCCGACAACACACCACCTTGTCTTATTCCCTGTTTCATGAATACGGGTCTAGAGCACATTGAGTCCACACACACACGGCTAACCATCTCTGTGTACATGTTGTCAAGCACTAGCTATAGAGACCCCTTGATTCCGAACTCGAATATCTTGTACTTAAGACCACCATGCCACACCGTGTCAAATGCCTTACACGTATCTTAGATGGCAACATGGACATCTTCATTCTGCTCATGATAGTGGTGGATGGTCTCTTGTAAGTTGAATGATGTGTGAAGGGCAGACAATCCGATCTGGTACGCCATTTGTTGAGGGTCGGGAAATTTGTCAGATTGATCTAACCCTTTCAACCTTGGTAATAGCAGCATTTCAAAGACCTTGCTCAGTACAGGCGACAGGGATATACCCCGATAGGAGTTCGGATCCTTCTTTGATTTATTCCCACCTTTGAACAGAGGGACGATTATGCTTTTCCGCCAGGCTGCAGGGATATATCCAGTTTCTAGGATGATAAATGAAACATCAGGGTCTTCCCACCATATTTGATATGTTCGTACACAATAGAGTCGGCTCCACCGGCTTTATTGTTCTTCAACTTCGCACAGCACGTTGTAACTTCTGATAAGGTTATCGTTGGTGGCGATATCTCGAATTCTGTTTTACACTGATTCCTGACCTCATTCACAATAGACTCTATTTTCTCACAGAATGATGCGTTGTAGTTTTCGTTGCCAACAGAAGAGTATACGTGTTCAAAGTGATTTGCCCAAGCGTCTAGTATTGATTCAGGTTCACATTGTACATATCCGTTAGATATAATGGGGCTGAGTTTTGATTTTGATGTACTCGTTGATGATCGCACTCTGTTCCAGAATGTTTTTATATTCATTTCATGAGACTGTTCCAGGTCATGGAATGTCTGTGTTACGTGCTGTTTACTAGCTATTCGCATCTGTGCCCGGAACTCTGATTTTGAAGCTTTATATTCTCTATATGTTGGATGATCATTACCTCTTGGTCGACCTGCTTCTAGCCATAGATAGCGCTAAATTGACATTGCGGTGTGAAGATCATCCAGTACATCATTCCAGTATGGCTTCAGGTATGATTTGAATGATTTTATTTGCAGGGTGTTCTTGCTTGCGCGCAATATAGCGTCAACTATTTGTGTGTAGTACTCTTCTACAATGACGATATTCTCAATTGTTGTCGGAGGTCGAACAGCCAAAAGAAGATGTGACACAGCATAGGTATAGTCAGTTATCTTCCCTTGCTTTCTCGCTTTTTCCCAAGAGACAGGTGGCTGAGTCTGCACATTCCACCCTGGCATGGGTGCTGCTAACTCTGGTGCAGAGAACAGGGTTATGGTCAGATACATTGAAGCATGCGTCATCAAGAACGATTGGAGAGATGACGTCACACATTAAGATTCTGGGATCAAGATATGATCGATCATGGTTTTTGGTCCGCCTTGATGTGAGCAAAATGTCCATTGTGGACCAGCACATGATTCAAGGTATTCACTGATGTAAGACCTGTCCTTTTCAAAAGGTCACTCATGAATGCGCCTTGAGCGGGTATCTTCCTTGAACATGGATCTAGAACTCCTTATCTTGGTATTCATATCACCCATTATTATCACCTTGCCTAGATCGGAATATGAAGCGTAGAGATCGTCCAAAACGTCCAGGCACCAGAAGAAAAGTTCATTTGATCTCGTTACTGCTGGGAGATATACACTGAAGACATACATCGGCTTGCAACCTGGAACATGTAACTCCACCCCAATCAGAAAGTCATAATCCGTGTCAATTTCATGACAGAAAGAACTTAGTCTCTTTGATATCAGTAGGGCAACTCCCCCTCGGGATGCGAATATGCCTTCATTCAGCGGAGCTCCGTCTCCAAAACACCTTGCAAACACTGTGAATGGTTCAGCAATTTGGTTCAACAACTGCAGGTTATGGTGGCCTAACTGGTGTTCACTGAGTCCACATATATCTATATCGTTAACAGACAAGCAACCACGAAGGTATGGTCCACTAGAGGATATGCCTCTGCAATTCCAGCTCATCAGTCTTAGTTTATCAATCATAGTTGGTTAGACTGAAGTTGTGATCTTGGTATCCATTTTCGTACCGCTATTCCTGCTGGCCAGAAACTTGGATCTTCAACTAAATGTCTTTGTGATGATTGGACATTAATTTGAGCTGACACTGTATATCTACTGCGATTGTTGATCACTCTGATAAAGGTCACATTAATATCATGACTAGCAAGATGGTCTCTTATATCGGTTTCACTCACGTCTGCATGAATACGTCCAATGAAGAAATGAGCAACACGTTGCCTAGGTAACACGGCTCTAAAGCTACCCAATCCCACAGGTTTACGAGATTCTACTTTCCGTGTCGACCCCTCACCTGCATTTAATGTTATCTTAAGGTCCGACATTGCCGCTTTACGCGTAAGGGGTTGTGTATCAGCGCCTATTCTCTCATCTTCTCTATTGATATTATCCACATCAACGGACTGGAATTGAGATTCAACTTTGTTCAAAGTAGCAGTGTCACAGACAGGTAAGGGTAATCCAAGTGATTCACTGAGTTCTCTGATGTAAGAGTTACTACCGTTACACACTTGTTCCCTACAGTCTCTTTTAGTGCAAGCCCGATCATTAGATATAACCTGACAAGTGGTTGTATCCCTCTGCACGTGCGGCTCATGGCCTTCACTATACACCTCAGCTTCCACTGTAGCGATATTAGTACGCTCCAGCTCTCTGTTATCACAGGGTGCAGTGTCGCTTGATGATTGCAAGTTGCTATCCGGCTCCAATCCTGATTGGATTACATCAACTTCACAAGTGGTCTGGGTTGATTCGTGGGTAACCTCAGTCTCTGGTCGTGTTTCATTCAGTTCCTGATTGA